GAGACAGGTGTGTGGCAGGTGTGAGTCAGGTGTGAGTCAGGTGTGAGGCAGGTATGAGACAGGTGTGTGGCAGGTGTGAAACAGGTGTGAGGCAGGTGTGAGGCAGGTGTGAGGCAGGTGTGTGGCAGGTGTGAAACAGGTGTGAAGCAGGTGTGAGGTAGGTGTGAAGTAGGTATGAGGCAGGTGTAAAGCAGGTGTGAGGCAGGTGTGAGGCAGATGCTCAAGTAGCTAGGATAAGTTTTGTTAACATGGAGAACTTATCACAGTCCTCTTCATTACTGCTACCTCGTCATTCTCTGAAGAGAAAAAGGCAAGAATCAGGCAGGAAGGAAGCACACAGGCCAGATTTTTACACTAGAACCCAGATTAGAGAGGTGCCTAGGGTGAGAGGTGCCTGAGAACACTGGGAGGTAGGAGATTGTATCAGAATTGCTGTAGATTCTTTGGACTTTACTAAAAACTATATAGAAATGTATACAGAGATCAGAATATTTTTCTAGAGCTGGGCACTCTTTGGGGACTCTCATGCTACACTCATGCTATTGGGACTAATGCATTAATAATGTGTACTCAAAGCCACATGGCATGAGTGCATGAGTGCATGGGTACATGAGTGTATGGGTGCATGGGTACATGAGTGTATGGGTGCATGGTTGGATGAGTGCATGGATACACAAGTGTATTAGTACATGAATGCATGGGTGCATGAGTGGATGGGTGCATGGGTGCATGTATATACAAGTGTATTGGTGCATGGGTGCATGAGTGCATGGGTGCATGGATACACGAGTGTATTGGTGCATGAGTGCATGGTTGGCTGAGTGCATGGATACACAAGTGTATTAGTACATGAGTGCATGGGTGCATGGGTGCATGGATACACGAGTGTATTGGTGCATGGGTGCATGGGTACATGAGTGGATGGGTGCATGGGTACATGAGTGTATTGGTGCATGGGTGCATGGGTACATGAGTGGATGGGTGCATGGGTGCATGGGTACATGAGTGTATTGGTGCATGAGTGCATGGGTACATGAGGGGATGGGTGCATGGGTGCATGGGTACATGAGTGTATTGGTGCATGAGTGCATGGGTACATGAGTGGATGGGTGCATGGATGCATGGGTACATGAGTGTATTGGTGCATGGGTACATGAGTGTATTGGTGCATGGGTGCATGGGTACACGAGTGTATTGGTGCATGGGTGCATGAGTGCATGGGTACATGAGTGTATTGGTGCATGAGTGCATGGGTACATGAGTGGATGGGTGCATGGGTGCATGGGTACATGAGTGTATTGGTGCATGGGTGCATGGGTACATGAGTGTATTGGTACATGGGTGCATGGGTACATGAGTGTATTGGTGCATGGGTGCATGGGTACATGAGTGTATTGGTGCATGAGTGCATGGGTACATGAGTGTATTAGTGCATGGGTGCATGGGTACATGAGTGTATTGGTGCATGGGTGCATG